GGGGGGGAGGAAAGAAAGAAAGAAAAGAGAATCCAAGATAGGTTTGGATGATATTCGTCGACTTGGTGGATCTTTTTTTCGTCGAAGGAGGGAAAAACGGGGGCGGAGGTGAATATTTGACAACAAGGTTGGGTGGAAAAGGCCGTGGCCAAGGATCAATGGGTTGTGAGGCAGGGCTAGTGAAACAGAGCTTGAAGAAGAAAGAGATGGAAGGGGGTGGGAAAAACGTGTCAGGGGTGAATCGGCGAGATCCCACGTCAGATCCTGTCAATATCGCGAACGGTGGCGGAAACGAATGCCCGTCGGGAGTCGAGCCGCCCTCCCCCCATGCGCGTTTGCCTTTGCCCGCTCGCAAGTGGTGAGGAGCATGGCGATACCAGAACGTATTGTGCGATTCGCAGCCATATTCCAGTCTGAGGGAGAGGGGAAGAGGAGATCGGAAAGAAAGGACGACTAGTGCGTTCCTACGACAATGTGACCCCTTCATGCGTGCCTCCATCTCGCGCATGAACGCGTGGCTCTTTCTTCTTTCGTTCCTTCGTTTGAATCCGCAAGAGACAAGTGCGGATGTCCTGGCAGTCCTAATCAATCCAGGATGCCCCACTTTCGCTTCTCGTGTCCACGTTCCAGTGCCGTCATCTTTGCACCGCCCCGTGTCAATCAGCCCCCGCCTCTCTTTCCAGCTTCGACCGCGGATCCTGCAGACCCGACGACCCGGGGACAGCCTTAGAAGAGCAGGTAGGTGAAGGCAAAGACTCCGAAAGCGATGGCGGCGACAATGTGGACAGGGACACCCTCGGCAGTTGACGCCTGCATCGTGTTGGCGCTTCCTCCGTTCTTCTTTGCGAGAGCGAGCTCGTCCCTCAAGCGCCTGATCTCGGCTTGAAGCTCTTCGGTGCTGGCAGTGCTGGCGTTGAAAGGCCTTGCGCTCGAGGCTCCGTTGACCGCCCTGGACCCAGCGTCCTTGGTCGCTCCGCCAGCAGCAAGCGCTGCCACCCTTGCCTTCTCGGCGGCAGAGCCATCCGTGTTGGAAGCAGCGTTCGAGGCGGCCAAGACGGGGTTGTAGGATTGGGCTCCGTTGGGCGATTGAGCTTGCTGTGGCGAAGAGAAGGATCCGTCGTCGTTGGCTGGCGATGCTCCATTCAGTCCACGAGATGGCATTCCACGGACAGTAGCGAATTTCTATGAAACATGGTAAGGGTGGCGTGAGGGAGGCGGCGAAGGATTAGCGAGCGGCTGCGAGGGCCAACAAAATAGGGCGAGCTGGGCCGGTGCGGAAGGATATTTACCTCATCCCCGATAGCGCTCGAGCTGACATCGTAACCCTCCCCTTCCTCAGGTACTGTGGCGGTAGCGGCAGGGAGGAAGGCGCAACGGATCTTTTGTTCGTGGATGGCCGACTTGTCTTCCTTTTCCATGATTCCCCAGAGATCGACGAGCGAAGTGGTCTCTCTCTCTGGGGTGATGATCGTGGACTGGACCAAGAATTTGTCGCGGCATTTCGCAGAGAGGGGTGGTTCTTCTTTCATCGGCTGAAGCAAGACTGCGGGCGTTGAAGAGACACGATTGGTTGATGGGGGAATGATTGGGGGCGAGGCCAGAAGAGCCACGTGTGTAAATATCTTTTTTATCATCACGATCGATCTGGAAGGAGACATCTTTCCTTAGATCCCACGACAAGCGGGCACCCCCTTGCTTGCATCCTCCCAACTCCTTCCTTGCGCCACCCTAACCCTCGCTTCCCGGTGGCATGTCTGGATTCCATTGGCTCAAGTATCAGCCCTGGGACATGCCTGTTTCCAGGGCGCACGAGATGCGAACGAATCGAATGGGGATGTCGTCCCAAACCCTGCACTTGCGAACGTTCACTCACCTTGGACCTCGACCTTCTCGCCTGGTTCAATCCTTCCAGAGTTGGGCCTGACGCAGTATTGCTTTGGGGCGGTCGTCTTGACCTTGAAGGCGACCGGCTGGTTGTTCGGGTTCGAGACCTGGAGCGTTCGCTTGACGAGCTGGGTCAATGGGCCTGACGGATTAGGAAGAAGGAGGGGTGATAAGGGTCAATTTTAGTTCATATTTCCAGCGAGCGGGCCAAGTGTTCACTCACGTGGAAACCCGAGCTGAACGTGGGGGTTGAGGCTGTTGTGGAAGGAAACGAAAAAGGAGGTTTTTGGCGATTTGGAGGGTGGCGGTGAGACGAGGTGGGAAGAAGCGTTCAGCTACAGCCTTTTGCAGTGTAGTTCCCGGTCACTAGATCTCGACCAGATCCTTCTGTCTTCCTTCTTTTTTCTTTTTCGTTTCTCTTCAGACGAGAAAATCGCGTACACGTTCGAGTCCATATCCATCATCCTGTATGAGGCAGAACTCGAACAAAAGAAAATAAACCACCCAAGTTCGTTTTCATTGACGTCCGACTTGATCCACTCCCTCCCTCTCCCTCCTCCCCTTCAAGGAAATGTTTCATGGACGTGTTGGCGAAACGAAGCGAGAGTCCGGAAAACGGTGTGTGATTGCTGACACGAACATCATTCAGCCGCCCGTCCCTCGAACGCCTCTCCCTCCCCTCCTGGTTCGAAGAATGACCTCAGTGTGTACTCACTCGACAGACATTGTGGATCTTGTGTGGGTGTGTTTTTTTCGCAGTCACGGATGGGGTGGAATCCTTTTTTTTCCCGCTCCTCTCGAGTGTCGGCCAATACCAAGGGAGGATTGGAGTTTTGGTTTGATTTTTGAAATTTGGTTTTTCGGCTTTCTTTTCCTCCGAAGCGGATGGGTTTGCTTGGGAGGGGGGAAGGGTGAGGTTGGTGGGATGGTGATAGTGGGTGGTGGGATCGACAGGGAGTAGGTGAAGGAGAAGGTAGGGGGAGAGAGTGGAGACGAGACGGGGGGTTGGAGATGAGAGAGGGAGGGAGGGGACAAGTCGAGACTTGGGGAAAGCGAACGGGGCGCGGCCGGGCGTGGAAAGACGAATTAGAAAATCGATCGAGAATCGAGATTCGTATGCGTGCAGATACCACCCACCCACTTTAAATTTGGTCAGGAGTGCGGATTCAGATTACTTGTGTTTGCGCTTTTGACTATTCACGCTCGCCTCTCAAAGATGCGCGTGCTTACCGCTCTCCGGCTCTCGCCTCGCCTCGCCTCGCCTTGCCTCTCTCCCTCGCCCTGCCAAAACCCCCGCCGTGCTATGTCGTGCATACAGTACATACACCATGTCTGCACAGTATGAACATCTGTAACCATCGGGTGACTGGATGAACCTTGACTCGCTCACCTCCCCCCCCCCCCTGCCCATTTGCAAGAAGATTCGTCACGATGGGAAGAAGAAGAGAGGGGAGCAGGAGGAGGAGGTAGAGTCTAAGACCGAAACGAGGCAAGGAAAGAATTCCGAGAATCTCCATTGGACGTCAAAGCTCTCGACCGAGCCAAGGGCAGGGGCAGGGTGGTGAGAGAAGAGAGAGAAAGAGAGATAGAGCCGAGCGGTGGGTGGCTGGCGGAAGAATCACATGCAGTGCGAATCGAATGAATCATGGTCACGCAAGTGGTGGATGTGTATCATCCTCCTCCTCCCTCGTCCCTCCCTCTCTTCAGCATTCTCCCTCTCTCTTTCTACCCCTCTCGGCCCCTTTCCCTTCCTCTCTCCCTCGGCCGCTCCCTCTCTCCCTCTCACACACGCACACACAGACACAGTCGCGGGGTAGCAATGGTCCGTGCGCGCTTCCCCCTGTCTGAGAGCTGGCTGTCCTCCCTAAGGGGCTTTTCTTTGATCTTGCAGCTTTTGCCCTCCCCTCTCGTCCTCTCCTCTCTCCCTCTCTCTCTCTCTCTCTCGCTCTCCAGCCTCTCTCGTTCTATCCGACCACGCCTTTGCATCGGGGCTCTCCGCCACCTCCCTCACCCTCTAACCCCTTTGAAATCGTAGAGAAGAACCAGCAGACGAATCACCAATGGATGGGATACCAACCTGCAATCGAACGACTCACCCCACACGAAAGCTTTGTCGTTGACTTCGTCCGCACGTCATCTTCTTCCTTCCCAAGTGAAAAATCCGCGGTGGAGAGGAAGAAGAAGAAATGAAAGGGGACAACGAAAAAAGGACGAGGATCCTTGGAATGGATCGGCGGGGCGAGCGACGATTGGGGAGCCGAATCCGGACGAGCTAGGTGTGTTTGCAAGAGGTGGTTCTTCTTCGGGGGAAAGTAGAAGAGGAAAGAAAATCGAATCCAAAATATAATGGAATGAAAAACTTTTTTTCTCCATTGAACCTCAGTCAGTCCCTTACCAACGAATGTCTGGAGTGAACATAGAGCCATCTGTAGCAAGGGCGATTTGCCCATGGGAAGCGAAAGGGATGTATGTATACCCGAATTGCTTGAATGGCAAAAAGTTGAAGCATCGAAGGATCTGCAAGAAGGGGGGATAAGATGAAAGGGAGACGGGAGATTGGGGTGGAAACAGCGCAAAAATTTTGTCCTCTGCCAGGATCGAACTGGCGACCTTGAGATCACTTGGCGAGAAACGCCATCATAATGCGTGTATGAGACTCACGTGGTAACCAACTCCACCAAGAAGACATTACTTACCACTCCAGCACTAATGTGTATTTATATATTACTTCGGACATGCAGATCTGATAATCCTTCATTTTTCCTAAGCATGTGAAAGCGAGATGGAAAATAAAAAGAAGAACGGAAAAGAAAGCGGGACAACTCCCAACTCGTCGAAAACTCGTCGCCGCATGGGGGAGCCATGGAGGCGAGGGGGGCGAGGGAGAGGGAGAGTGGAAGCCGCATTTCTACAACCAGTCCAAGGGGAGGGTCGTTGATGAGAGGAGAGCGGGTTGGAAGAAGAGAACGGAAAAGAAACATCCTCCCACCTTCCTACGAGTCCGAGAATGAGGAGAGGGGGTGAAGGAGGGAGAGAGAGCGAGAGAGAGACAGATAAAATTCAAGATGCCCTTACGGCCGAATCCCCTCTCTTCTTCAAAAACTCCATCTCCACCCGCGCCGTGCACAGAAGTGAACCCAACCGATCGCACGCGAAAGACAAAGAAGGCTTTCAACTATTCCAAGTAACCCTCTCAGTCAGCATGGGCCACCGCTCTCCGCCTGGTATCCTTCACCGGTTCCCTAAAGGGTGGATTGAACAGCATTCACTGCCTCGCAGTGAGAGAAGAGAGAGGGGGGGAAGCGACGAACGGAACCCATCGGTCAGGTCGGATCTTGACGGGCAGAGCACGGATGGAAGAACGGGCGCGAGATTTGAAGAGCCCGAGTTTTTTTACATATCCCAGGCGGGCGCCGAAACTTTCTTCGAACCGTCACCCCACACGGGTCTGGAGAGCGCCAGCACGTTGACCTTGGTCCAGGTGGTTGAAGGAACATTTGCCGTCATGCCGATGGACGGGTTGGTAGAGGCAGCAACGCCGTTCACCGAGACGCCAAACTGACCCACGCTCGTCGGGAGCATGAGGAAAGCGTGCTTCTCGACCGGATCCAACAGGGGTCCGAGCAAGAGTCGGTGACGGGAGAGGGAGCAGAGCGAGATTTCGGCTAGCTCGGCATCATCATCCTGCACTGCCTTCAGGTTCGACTCTGCGCCACAAAGGGCCGTCCGAAGCAAGGCGAGCGTCGATTTCAAATTGGAGGAGCAAGAGGAGCGGGAGAAGGAGGCTTCATCCGATCTGGTCCCGAGCGTGTGGGGCTCAAAGATGTGGGCGACCAGACGCTGATCGATGCAAGCTTGCTTTGACGGCAAAGAAGGCTGCTGCTCGGCACTGGGCGGAGCATGGTCTTTTAAGCTCTCCGCCCACCTGGTCAGGATATCGATGGACAAGTCCAGCATCGCCTTCTCTCCAAACCAGAGACCTGAGGCGCCTTCGCCGGCCAGGTTCCACTTCGACTCGGCAGAGAAGGAGGAGAGTCCGAGGTCGAGGCAGGACCTCCCAATCAGAGACAAAGCGCTGATCAGCGACGGCGAAGGCGTCGTGGGATAGGGGGGAGTACCGCCAGATCCGGACCGATTCCGGTAATCAATCGACGAAAGGATGGTGATGCACTGACGAGAGACTCGCGATTTCCACTTGTCAAGGCTTCTTAGCATTGTCTCGTCGAGAACGGTGCAAAGCTCGTCTCTGGTCGCACATGGTCTTGGCCGTTGCAGGGCTGCATGCAAGGCGCCCCTTCGCTTGGCACAGAGTGCTAGCCTTCCGACGAATAGATGACTCTCCTCTTCGGCTGCTTCTTTGCGAGCGGAGTCCTTCTCACTCCCCTCTAAATCCAGACCCTCCGCTCCTTGAACGGAGGACATATCCTGCAACATCGCTCGCCATGCTTTGACGATCTCAACAAGAGTGCCCGCAGCCCTCTCGGAGAAGGCCTCCTCGATTCTTTTCGATCCCCTCTGATGCCTCCTGAGGCTTCCAAAGTAAGCCTCCATGTCCCTCTCCAGTTTTTCATATTTCATGTCGATGTCGCGGATCACCTTATCGATCATGGGTGACCGGGTCTCCAACCTATCGTTTAGGTGAATGGCCTGCGGCCGAGATGCGCTGTTCGAATGCTTTTGCGCTCTCGATGCAAGGGTCGGCCGGTCATCCTGGGAAGGGGCAACCGAGTCGGACGAAAAGAGGAACAGGGTTGGGTGCCTTTCGAACATGACGTCTGCTTCCTCTTTTGACTTTCCGCCGTCCTGTGACGCCTGTGAACCCGCCAAGACACGGATGGATCGCTCGGTAGAAGCTACTGCCTCGCTCTTGATTCCGTCCAGCTCCTGTTGATAGATACTCGCCAGCCTCGCTTCGAAGAGGGCATCCAAGGATCTTCGAAGCTCTTCAGTCTCGGTCTTGATCATTTCCAGCACTTTCGCCTCTTTCGGTGTCGAGCCGCCAGGTCTTGACCCGATCTTCCGCATTACAAACTTATGCGCCTTCTCGATGTTCAAAGCCGAAGAGTGCTGTACCCTCGATATGGATCTGATTGATTGCAGGCCTTTCAAAAGATCCGATATCGACTGTCGTTGTTGGGATCGACCTTTCGTGTCTTGCATCTCGGCCTCTGGATAGAGACAGTCTTGCCTTATCTGAGCCGCCCACGATTGTATTTTCGCAATGGCCCCTTCCTCGGAATTTTCATGAGGCTCATCGACCTCTACATAAGGTGTGAAGGAGAGTATTTGAGGCGGAAGGAAGTGTGTCAGGATCGACGAGGATGGCAAAGAGTGAAGCACAGAATGTGTTGAGACTCTTGATAACTTTTTGTCCGAATGCGAGGGGTCCGAGAGGAGCGTGGGCACGCCCAAGCTCGATCGGCGCCGTGCCGCCTTCAGCGCAGCAGGGGATAGACCACCTGGTGCGATAAAAGACGTTCTTCGGTCTTTCAAAGAGGATCCAGCCTCAGTCCCAGCAAATGGCGGTGGTTGTGTGAGGCGCTTCAGCAGTTGATGCATACAAGGAAGGGTAGATTGGTCATCGGTTGGGAATGATGCAGGAGGGGAAGGACCGGGGAGGGCGAAGCTCCTCGAAGCGTGAATCAGGGTGCCCATGTAAGAACGGATCAATGATGAAAGCATGGCATCAATCTCCGTCTCGTCTTCCCCCGGCCCTTTTTCCTTGACAGGCTCCTTCTCAAGGCTGCCGAAAACGACTGAGGATCTCCTTCGGTTGCGTCCCTCATAGCCTGGGTGACTGATTCGTAAAATTTCTTTGATTGCGTTCCGCCTTTGGGACAAGAGGAGTGAGAATGCTTGTGGGATCTTTAAGTTATCCAAGAGGATGACGGTCGCAAGCTGATCCATTGTCACTTGGAGCCCTAGATCCGCGATGGCAAGTAAGTCTACGGCCCTCTGAATGATCTGTTTTCTCATCGGAACTAAGCCTTGCCACTGCTTTTCCACGAAAGGAAATGCCGCCTTGACATCGATGGTGAGGTCTTCCGGGTTGGATGGTTTGCGCCTCTCCATCAGATCCCACCAGACGACCCTTGCCAGGATGAAAGTCCAAGCCGCCGTCAGTGTCTTCCCCTTCTCGATAGACCTCCAGACGAACTCTGGTGCATCCATCAGGAGCTTCAATGAGGCTCCGATAGAAAAGACCTGATCCTCTCTCTGCTGCCGCAAAAACTCTTCCTCGGCAAGGTCATGGCCACTGAGGTCTCCGTCTCCGTCTCCGAAGCTGTCCTTCCTGACGCCAAGCTTCAACGCACCAAGCCTTTCCTTGAGTTGACTAGAACTGTGAGCCATATCTATAATGGTGTTGGCTGTCCCAAGAAGTTCCGTGTAGCGCTCGCCGACAAGGCTCCTGAGTTCCTGTCTCTTGGCAGCTGCAGCATCTCGGACAGCGAGATGGAAGAGCTCGACCTGCTTGACTGGCAGCTTGGTAAAGACCTGATCAGGATCTTCAGACATAGGATCAAGGTCCATGGGAAGGTAAGCAGAGGAGCCGGAGCCCCCGAAGCTGGAGGTGAGGGAAGCGGGGGTCCGAGCATGCCGTCTGTGTCTCTGCTTTGATGGTGAAGTGGTGGGCGACGAGGGTTTCTCTGGCGAAGCGGGGTTGGAATACCCTCCCGCAGATTGGGTGCTCATGGGAGGGGAGCGCTATTCGGAAGAGGTTGACACACGGATGGGGCAACTTTGGGAGGGAAACTGGTGTATGGTTAAGAGGGTGGTGTCTTGGTTTGGAGTGGAGACATGCCGAACAGGATGTGAGCAAGAGAGAGAGAAGAGAGAGAATGAGCCATGCCAGCTCGTGTCCGTGCGAGAAAAGATGCAGTTGTTGATTTGGATGCAAGCTCTGATCACTTGCTCTTCCATTTTCTTCGTATTTTTCTCCTCAAGGTCAGCATTCATTCACTCCTGGTTCTCCTTCTTCTCATTCCACCACCCTCTCACGCCCCTTGTTCATCGACACTCGTCTAGCTCCTCATCGTGACTCATTCATAACCTTCACGGCTCCCAGCTCGCCAATCTTAGGGTAAGGGAAGGAAAGGAGAAGAGAGGAGAGGAAGGCAAGAGGACAACATGCCGACTCCAGGAAAGGATTCGGGTTCCGTCACCCTACAGACCTCTCTTGGGAACATAACCTTCGAATTGTACTGGAATCACGCCCCAAAGACATGCGCAAAGTGAGTATCGCTGTCTCGACTCAACGAGAACCGACCGACTATCCGAAGTGATGCTGACCCAAAGAGAGAGGGGCACCATTCAAAAACTAGCTTTTATGGTCTGGCACAAAGGGGATACTACAACGGAACTGTAAGTTTTTTTGCGCTCTATCTAGCATCGGGGAAATGGTCAGAGGCAAGATCCCAAGTGGCCTAGACTGATTCCTTCGTTGCATCCGCCTCCACAGATCTTTCACAGGTGAGATCCAGCTTTTACTTCATTTCCTTGACGTATCTCGAAGGCATGCGTACAAGGCTTCCCAAGTGTCTGTTTCCGATTAGAGAAGCCTCAGGGACCGATTCAATGCTCAAGACCAGCAATTCTGATGTTGACGCAAACCATTCCCTCCATTTCTGGCCCTACCCCCGACGGTAACCTTTTTTCTTCCTTGTCTGCGACGATGGGTTCTTTCGTC